TCGTTTGATTGCTATCTCAAAAAGGTATGATCTTGCTATCTCACAAATGAAGGATCAAACGTTTGATCGCTTCAAAATATTCCATGATATGGTAGAAAGATGGACATGAAAGAAGTTGAAGTGTTTCTGTTCTGACAGTGGAGGCGAGCGCATTTCCTGGAAGCCCTTGGCATATTACATTAAACATGGAATCAGACATGAAGATCTAATGCCATAAATCCCACAACACAATGTTGTAGCCAAAAGAATGAATTGCACTATTACAGAGAAAGTTTATTGAATGCTCAGTATAACTAAATTACCAAAGTCTTCTGGTGCGGAGTTGTGCTAACGGCTTGCTGTCTCATAAATAGGTCACCCTTAGTTCCATTTAACTATGAAGTTCCCGAGAAGAAATTGCCATGAAAAGACATTTCTTACTCTCACTTGAAAGTGTTCGAGCGCAAGCCATTTGCACATGTATCCAAGGAGCAGAGACAAAAGCTTGATCTCGGGTCAAATCCATACATCTTCATCGGTAATGGAGATCAAGAAATGAAGAAATTCATTCGAAGTAGAGATGTCATATTTTATGAAACCTACTTTCATGAATTTGCTCCAATATGTCCCCAAAAAGTGTATCTCTCATGCTCCTATTCGACTGTCTTCTCCTCAAGTTGTGTTTCCCAAAGTGGACTAATAGTACTAAGCTTGCATATATCGCAAACACTAAAATCCATGACATATGTACGCATTCAAAGATGAAACAAGAGGGTGGAGAAGATGAAGAAACATGAATCGTGAAAAGAATATATAGGAAATAGACGAAAACAACGGAGACAAATTAAGGAAGAGAAGGTTGACATAAATAATCCCAACTATGAGTGATTTGCTTGAAATGTTTCAAAGTATTAATTATCTCAAAATAATCCTAACTGTTGATAAAAAATCTCAAAATAATCCATGGATAATTAACAATACGCAAATGACTTATAATATTTTATTGTCCCTGAAGTATTTTGAGTTTTTTTTCAATAGTTAGGGTTTTTTGGGATAATTGATATTTTGGATTATTTCACGCATATCACAAATAGTTAGGATTATTCTTGTCCATTTCTCTAAATCTATTAGATTCATACTGAGTGTTTTTATGACCCAGGAATATGCCAAATTGCCGAACAATGGTGCATGATCACACCAAGGTTGATACAAATACCTGTAAACCCCCGGGAGAAGGAGTTGGACTCAAATGACAAAATTATCTCAGAGACTTTTTTTATAGTTACAACAGATGACTTAAATTAATATCACATTATTCAGATAGAGGGTAAAATGACAAAAGGACCACGTGCATCCACGAGCCCTCGAACTAGACTTAGAGTCAATCACGTTCAAAAAAACAATATGACTCGTTGATCCTATAATGGGAAAATGAGCCAACGACGGTTAAAGCAGGTCTCCCATCACCGCCCAATCCTAATGCAATAGTCTTACAACAATAAAAGTAACCAACGGAAAAATAAACAGGGGATCATGAAAAATAAATAGCAAGCAAACAGTAAAATTAAAATGATGCTTCCAAACCCTAGACTCCCCTGCACTCCATGGCGGTGATTTAGGAGGGGGACGATCCAACAGTGTTGTAGCTACTTCCTTGCCTCTTGTTCATCTTGTTCTCTACCAAGCCTCCTCTGTCACCACATATCACGGAAGACTTCGTCTCCGGATTTGTTCCCGTCCCTAGCCCCACGCTTCATCCATGACCTTTGGCCGCTGGAGACCAAGCATCCATCTTCCACCCTTGCACAACTTTCGGCCACCAAAGATCAATCATCTTCTTCCCTCCGCTTAACCTCGCCGAATCAAAAGAGGAAGAAACAACCGCATTGATGGTGGAAGAAGAAACCATGTACACCTAAGCCCGCCTGCGGCAGCCACTCCTCGTTACAAACGATAGTGGAGGAAAAAAAACCCTAGCGGACGAAACCCACCCTAGAAAGAAGCACGATAATTATCTAAGAGACTTAAATATTATGCCTTAATGCCACAAGAATTTTTTTTTACCCAGTGAGTAAAACACCAAAATCAGTGGGGTAAATGTCGGAGAACATTTACCATCTAGCACAACAAAGCAAAAGAAATACAGATAAAGAGGGGGACTATACCAAAACCTCTCTAAGGAGGTATACCTCCAAAAATAAAAGGAAAATATAATAAAGAGCCATAGAAAGACAAAAAAACTTAGTCCCAAATTAATAGCGAACAGTGTAAGTCGAAAAAAGGGAGATCCAAGCCTTAATGCCACAAGACTACTAAAATCTATTCATATATTGATTTTATTAATAGAATGTGCATTGTGGACCATGTTTTCGGTACGATAACACCGTAATATTTGAAGTTCTAAACCATGGCTATATCATTATATCCTCAAAATAATTAATCGTTTGTCACTAATTTCAGAGTGCCACATACACATGTGTATACATAAATATGAAACATCCCAATTATTCTTTTAAGTTTCAGCACACATCCGAGCTCAACCGGTCTTTGAGCAATCCCGAAAATGGTCTCACTCTTCAAAACATTCACATACTCATGTACATAACTTAATACCGACATAGCATAAACCTCCTGCTAGTCGTTGAGTTGTGTGGTAATGTAGTATACAGTATACCCTGGGGTCAGGGCGGATGATAGTAGAGACTATAGACTAGTGTGAACCATGGTTTTAAATAGCCGTAGTGGCAGCGTTAGCAGTCACGGTAATGGTCATCTTGGTAGCGGCTGTTGCGGCCGCTGCGATGCGTACAGTGGTCGCAGCGGCGTGCAATATTTTCAAGCGCGCAAAACATATAATTAATGGATGTTAAAGTTAATAAAAATATTATGAATACTTGTTTGAGCACTTATATGTGAACAACTAATCAACCAATAGGAATATGACAATTAAAAGAGAATGATAATTAGAAAAATCGGTAAACTAAATATTATTACACACACAATCAATAATGTCTTCAAATTAAACAAGTCTTAACACATCTTTAAATTAAATAGATTCCTACATTAAATGACACATTACACATGTCAACATGATGTAAAAAGTTCCAAATATTACACCATCACCTCCTACAAATACATCTTCACTGCGAACTTCCCTTGAAAATAAATATGAAATTAAATGAGTTAATATCAACAACAACAATAATAATAACAATAAATAATACTACGTAATAACAATAGTAGTAGTAATAATTATGAAAAGAAATGTAGTAACTTACATGATTCTTCCTATCACATGGTGGAGTGGCCTGGGGGGTCACAACCTTTGGTTTCACTCTCACCATTATCATGAGAATATCCTTGCATGAAAACATAATCATAAAATCCACCACTTGTTTCTTGATAATAAGGATCTTGATATGTGGATGGTTGGTAGTATGAAGAAGCTTGATCATTTCCATATTGATCATAAGAGGTCACATTGGGATGCTGATCAAAAGGCACATAATAATGACTAATGAGTACTACTAGAAGATTCATCATTACCACTATAACCGAAATTCGGTCCAACACTCGAAGACAATGAATCATCTAATGGAACATTATGATGTCTGTTTCCCCTTCTCCTAGTTGGCCCGGTTCTACTGCTCTCACACAATGAAGGATCGTCGGTAGTCATATCAATTAAATTCCTATAACGCCTCGGGGGTTGGAAGTCTGTCTGAATCTCCACCCCAGTGTCATCATTACCATCATTATTATTTTCCCCAAATCCTCCATTACCACCATCAGTGTCACTGTCATCACTTGGTGCACTATGATCACCACCACCACCATCATCGTCTTCCATATTTTCATCATCAGTGTTCATCAAAGGCAACCATGCTGCATTTTGAAGTCCGTCTAATAATGAATTCTTCCTCTCTTCAATCCATGGAGATAATGAATCACCTTCTTCAAAAATATAGTCAAGATTAATCGGATTAAAACTTTCTTCGATTTCAGCTTGACTTTTTCTCATCTCATGTCTCATTTTAAGCTTCATATTATAGTGGGTGAAGACTAATTTTTGTAGCTTTTTATACTTCAATGTGTTCCTAGTCTTCATGTGTGTATAGCTAAAAGTGCTCCAATTCCTCTCACAATTTGTTGTTGACGTTTAAGTTCAGGAGCACAACTACCATATATCAACCACCAATCAACTTTATAAAAGATCAAAAAATAATTAATTAAATACTTTTTTAACATAACAATATTAATAAATGTTGAATAAATGTATATTAATATTAATAAATGTATACAATTAGAAGTAAAATTTTACTTGGATTCATTTTAGCCCACACCTTTTGATCTTGGGGCGTACCAAATGTTTCACGCTTTTCTTTAAAAATCATTAACTAACAAAGAGTAGTATAAGTGTGTCAGTCTTGATTTTCGCGTGTAAAATAGTAAAAATGCTATGGAGTAAAAAAAATGGTTGTCGGTTCAATTATTTAATTTGAGTAGTATAAAATGTATTAAAATAAGAAGGTGGTAAACTAACCTACATGACAAATGGTGGAGTCAACAATCAAGTAGTTGGCCTGGATTACAAAGGAGTGAAGGACCGAATAGTATATCAGCCTTAAAGACTAATATGACAGGTGTGTGGGTTCACTGAGTAACTTTACCTTTTCAGATCAAGTTGACAAGTTGGTAGACTGACTTGTGGTTGATAAAATATTACTTTCAATTAATAATGGAGTTAAGTTGTTGGACATGCAGAGTTGCAGACCAACTAGAAAGGATGGACAAATAATAGTGGAGTATTGGACAAATATTACTTTCAAAACAATAGTGCAGAGCTACAGACTAACTAGTAATTATCATCATCCAAACCGGTCCTATTTAGTGCAGGCGAACTAGTTAATAGTGGAATCTTTTTATATATTTGAGTGTGACATATTTGGTCAATTGGTCCTATATAAATTCATCATCTTTTGTTTTTATAAACTCATTCACAATTATTTTGCTTTTGATATTTTACTATTACTTTCATCAATCTCTACTAATATGGATTACTTTGACTCTACAAAACAGAAATCGGAGTTGAAAATTCCTAAAATTTCCTCTCCGACTAAAGAGGTTGTGCGTCCTAAATCACCGATAATTTCTTCCCCTCCGAAACAGGTTGACTCGGGAACTCAACCAGAGTCATACAGACACAATGAAGGATCTAAATATTGGCTAAGGTGGCCTAAAGCACATGATGGCTTTATTAATTTTGAATTTATTTACTAAGACCCCGCTAATGCTTAAGCCTAATATAATTGTTTTCAGCCCAGGGCATCCCGATTGGTTGGATCCGCCGGCCCAATACAGACGCTATGATGATGGGACTCATGGTTGTAGTTCTACTGAAATGGACCCGAACTGGCCTATACGGAAAAAATATGGATCTGTTGTTCGGTTGTTCTTGATACAGAATCCGGATATGCAGAGTTAGAGGAAGGAGAAGAAGTCACTTCTACAGGACCAACGAAGTATTCCGAGTATGATCATGTTTTTGCTAATACCAAGGATTATGAATCCCCCTAATCGCAAATAAAATTATATGTTATATTATTGTAATATCGTCATGCTTTTTACGTAATGTTTTTACCTTGTTTATTTTGTTATGGATTCTATCGTTCATTAGCTACCTTCGAGTATTATCTGTCGACATCTATTATCTACTTTAATAAAATGTTTCATGTTTAACTACTTTAATTATACACATATACTGGGATTAATTGTTTTAAAATATTTTACATGTGACTAGGAAAACTTTCATGTGTCACTAATTACACAATAATTACACAATAAAATCTTTTAACTTCTTACGTGTAAAGTGTTTCTTGTGTAACTTCTTAAAATGTTCTACTTTAATATACACTTAAATTTAACCAATAAATTTAAGTTAAATACATTAATCAATAAAGAAGGCAATAACGTTATATTCAAAGAATGCTACTTGTGACATAATTAAAGTTGCAAAGTATAATTCAAAGAAAGCAATAGTGTTATATTCAAAAGCAATAAAGTTAAATTTATGTTAAAAACATTATTTAATACAGATTTAAAAATATATCAACACTTAACCTGATTCAAAGATTTAATTTGGTCATCCACATCTCTTTCTAATCGACTGATAACCTTAGTTGTTCCTTCAATTGTCTCTGCCAGGACATCACCTCCATGTTCAACTCCGTATTGAAATTGCGGGTTAAGATAATAACCTAAAAAATTCAAAAAATGAGATAGGTTATAATGTTTAAATCATTTCATCACTACATACATAAAACTTAATTCACATACCGGCAGAATGAAGATCTGAGTGCATGAATTTCCACCTTTCGTCAACAATAGCATTATATGTAGCATGATAACGACAATTTTCTCGTATAGCTTGTTTAGCTCTATCAACTGCTTCATATATGAAACCCATGGTAGGCTTATCGTCACCATTTGCAAGTCTCAACACTTTCACTAAAGGCTCAAAAATTTTGAGAATGTCATTCACCTTAATCCAAAAGTTCTTATTAAAACAATTGTTTTAGCTTCAAATGCCGACCCAATTTTCTCTTTCCCGGATTTAAATCGTCTAAATTCTTCTGAGCTGAACATGTTTTTTCAACCTTTTTTTGTTGCACAGTTGCTTGTATTTGTAAGAATTGTGTAGCAAATCTGGTAATCCCAGGCCGAAAAATTTGTCTACTTCCAGTATATTTTGTCATCAGATTTATTATCCAAGTATGATTGTAGATAAAAGTTGTCATAATCTTGCCATCACTTAATATTTTTTGGACTTTTTTTTTCTTCCTATGTCCTCCAAACAAAGATCAATACAGTGAGCTGCACAAGCAGTCCAATATAAATGCGGCCTATTTTCCATCAATTTTCGGCCAGCTGCTTTTAGGGCCCCTTCATTATATTCTTCTCCTACTTCTTCAACTACTTTATCTAACAACTCAAAGTATTAATCAGTATTTCGACTAGCAACACTAGTATCATAATGTGAGTATGGCTGATATCATCCGTTCAACCATCACACATTATTGTCACCCTTCTTTTTTCCCATGAACCTTTCAACGTATTAAACCACTCACAAATATCTTTATATTCATTATCTAAATATATGTTAGAGACTTCATAAGGAGTTGGGCCTTTGACCCCTTCACTTACCTCAGCCGCAACAACAATCAAATTATTCATCCATGGAGATCTAGCTAAATTCATAGGTAAACGTTCATGAATTACTAACTTGCTTACAACATCTCCAAGTTTCTTCCTTAGCGTCTTCATGAAGCCTCCTTTGATCTTTGATTGTTTCTGACTTTTGCTTCGTGTAAGATCAATATTACTAGACCTCAACTGAAAAGACACATCACGAGACCTTTGTTCTCTAAGATTATGATCCGGATCATCATCTTCACCATCATCATCATCATCATCATCATCATCATCATCACCTCTTAAGGGTGCTTCAAATTGTTCTTTCCTTTTTTGAGTCAATTTTCTTGGACTTTTCATCACAAAGAAGGCTCATCATATTTGTTCTGATGAATGTGCTCACTCTAGCACAACCCGCAACCTGCCCTTTCTTGTGTGCTTTGGTCCTTCAATCTTGTGATGCCGCCTGTTAAAATTCTTAAACAGAGATTGCACTGGACGTGGCCTCACTTTTCTTTAACTGGATTTCCGAAGTGCCATCCAATGTCAGTGCTTGGAGCACCTTCATGACTTCTTGTGGGAATTTTTCTCTTGGTGGCATTGTTGATATTTAATAAATTTAGCACCTAATGAAATAAAAAGGAGAAGAAGATGAACTAGCTTGCATGAGATGAAATAAGGAGAATGCAATAGTTTGCCTGAAATGAACTAAGGAGTATATAGCATTTGAAGTGTATGCATGGTGAAGTAAGTAAAATTGTGGACCATGCATTTCATGCAACTTGCATGTACTTTTATTTATATAAGAACTTGGTCTCATACTCCATAGTAATAGTCAAGTAGGTAGGCAAATTTTAATAACACATTTAATTGTACTACCCCGATCCCAAATAATTTTGTCATTTTATAAAATTTGGATCATGATTTGTATTACAATAATTTTTTTTATCGTCAAAAACTCACTATATTAATTCAAAATATCGTGCGCCAATCGGCTAGAAATACAATCCGGAACCGTCACATACTCCACTATCTGATCTGGTGAACTAACATGCGCTCTAGCTAAGGTATGAGCAACAAGGTTCACAGATTTTTACAAAAAGAGATTTTAAAGCTACTCTTTGACTCAATAATAGAGAAAATATCATCAAGAACTAAGTGAAGATAGGAGGCCCCCCCGTTGTGCGCCTCCCTGAACCACAGATAGTGCATCACTTTCAATTATCACTTTGTTCCATCCTGCAGCTATGGCTCCAATTTACGCATCCCTGATCCCCATGGCCTCGATTTCCTCCGGTGTCCATTCAGCCATATGGGAAACTCCTTGCGCTTTAATAAACTCACCATGATGATCTATAGCTATCCATCCCCATGCACGCAAACCTGCAGCCTGATTAGTTGCTCCGTCGATGTTGACTTTTATTACCCCTTCCTCCGGAGATTGCCACTTGTCCGTTTGAGCCCCCTCTGTGCACCTGTGTGCTGCTTTCCTCGATGTGAACCTGTAGCAGTCCCAGCAGGGGCTTGTTGAGCCTCTTTCCACTTAACAATCATAATATCTGCCATATTCACTATAGTTGAAGCCTCCTAAAACTTATCTTCCCACACCAGTTTGTTCTATCTTTTCCAAATACACCAAAGGAGAGCAATAAATCTGCCCTGAATCCCTCGATCTTGCTGTTCCAACTGCTGCTGCAGCCATGCTTCGATCGGCTGCTGCTGCCCGCCCATACTGTAATGCGCAGCTCTCCAAACCTCCCCCGTTTTTGGACATGACCGCAAGGCATGATCCAAAGATTCCTCCTCCCCCAAACCACACACCTTACACCCCCTTGAATATTAATACCTCTCATTCTCAAATTTACAACAATCGGAAGAGTGCCATCATTACTTGCCAAACAAAGCATTTGAACTTTGGAAGAATATGCAATTCCCAAATTTTATTCCAACCGCCCCAAGACCCCGAAATCAGCTCTCCAACCACCTTCCTATAACAACTTTTAACCGAAAAGGTACCATTCTTCTCTCCCGTCCACCAATAACTATCCTCTCGGTTTTGCACACTGATCGGCATGCTTAGAGTTAGCGGCTTATCTAACTCATTAAATAAAGCATTTATTCGTTCTCGATTCCAGTTTGTACCAGTAAAATCCCGAAGAGCCGCCACAATCATGTCTCTAACCCACTGGGGTTTAGTCGAAGTAATCTTCCCGGTGCCTGAACCCGGTAACCATGCATCAGCCCAAACCTGAACATTCATGCCATTCCCCACTCTACATCCGACATTCTCCTTCAAAATATTCTGAGTCTCAAAGATACTTCTCCAGATAAAAGAAGGTTTATTTCCAACCTTTGCTTCCAAGAAGGACGACTGAGGAAAATATTTGGCCTTTAAAATACCACTCATAAGGCTTTGCTGCTCCGTAATTAATCTACATCCTTGTTTAGCCAACATTACTAAATTAAACTCTCTTATCTTCCGGAAACCCAGTCCTCCTACTTCCTTCGGTTTACACATAGCATCCCAACTCCTCCATCTCAGACGCTTATGTTCAAACTTTGCTCCCCTCCACCAAAAACCATTCATTAATTTTTCAATATCATCACAAATATCTTTCAGGAGTAGGAAAACATTCATCGCATAGGCTGGCATTGCTTGAATGACATTTTTTAAGAGAACTGCCCTTCCTGCTCGGGAAAGGAACCTATTATCCCAACTTTTTATTCTGTTAAAAATCCGTTCTCGCAAGTAACTCAAAATAACCCTCTTATTCTTTCCCACCAAGGCTGGCAGACCAAGGTAAAGTTTCTGCCCACGGTCTCTCGGGATCTCAAACAAATCACAACATTGATCTTTAAACGGCTCTGACGTGCACTTTGTCGTGGTGTGCACTCAAAATAAATATCAATACAACACTTATACGTAGTATTAGCGTCAGGGCCGTCTTTAGTTGTTTTGGTGCCCTAGACAAAAACTAAATTACATTTTTTTAACATTTTTATATAGTATAGATTATGCTGAAACTTATGAAGTTTTGGATGAAGCCGTTGGATTGACTTATTCTGCTAATTTATATAAAATTATATTTAAAATATATGTTATTAATAAAATAAAGAAAAAATTATATGAAAACATAGGTAAAATGATCCTATAGGAAAAAATGATTCTCTAGAGTAACTATAGCCAATACAGCCAGAAAAGTAACTCTAACCTTGCTTTTTTTTATATTACATAACTCAGTGCGTGAGAAAAAAAGTACGCGTTTGGTGAAAAAATTGGTTGATAAGCCAAATAACATGGTTACCAAACGAGCTCTTAGTCAGTAATGTTTTACACCTTAATTATGTACTCTGTATATATTACTCCTTCCGTCCCGTTAAGATCCGTTCTACTAAGATTGTTTTATACTATATTTGGTAAAGTTTGTTTGATTTTAAATCAATTTTACTTTATACCTACTTTATCAATTTCATACCAATAAGATAAACTCATTTTTGTTAATAATCATGTCACCTCCTCATGTCTCAATGTTAGTAGGACAGAGCTAGTAATTGATTAAAGGTAACAAACTATA